CCCTGAGTCCTTCCCATCTCCAACCCCACCCCGTGGCCTCGGGCTAGTTTAAAGTTTAAACCGGAGAGAAGGCCCCGAGCCAAAAGGCCTTGGGGGCAGGAGTCTCTGGTCAGCCCCCCCAGCCGCCCCCAGTCACAAAGGAGGAAACTGAGGCCTAGAGAGGGGGCACTAGGTGACCCAGTGGTCCCTGGCTCCACAGCGGCCCCCTCTCACCGGTCCCCAGGTATTTTGAGGTGCTTGGTGAGCAGCTCGCAGAGCTGCTTGCTGTATGCCTTGTTCTGGGGCCCGCCGATCTTGCCGATGCTGTGCAGGCTGCAGAGGGCGCACGGGTCCGAGGAGCCCCCGAAAGCCATCAGCTGGTCGGCCGAGATGTGCACGGCAACGTACTGCGTGGGGAGGGTGGGGGGAGTCATGGGGGCCCCGGGAGGAGCCGCCACCGCCCTCCCCGCCCCGGGCCCCCTGCCCGCCATCCCGGCCTCCACGGGCCCCCCCACACCCTGCCGGGCCCCCTGCCCGCCATCCCGGCCTCCACGGGCCCCCCCACACCCTGCCGGGCCCCCTTCCCCGCCATCCCGGCCCCCGGGCCCCCTCCCCGCCATCCCGGCCTCCACGGGCCCCCCCACACCCTGCCGGGCCCCCTGCCCGCCATCCCGGCCTCCAGGGGCCCCCCCACACCCTGCCGGGCCCCCTTCCCGCCATCCCGGCCTCCACGGGCCCCCCCACACCCTGCCGGGCCCCCTTCCCCGCCATCCCGGCCCCCGGGCCCCCTCCCCGCCATCCCGGCCTCCACGGGCCCCCCCACATTCTGCCGGGCCTCCTCCCCGCCATCCCGGCCCCCCACACCTGGGCCGGCTTGCCCGTGGCCTTGGCCAGCTGCGTTGTGAGCTCGCTCAGCAGGGAGTCGGGCACCGCGGAGCGCGGCACATTGGTCTGCACCACGAAGATCGGCATCTTGGCGGCGGCTCCGGCGGGCGGCGGCGCGGGGAGGCTGGAGCGGGGCTAGGCCGAGCAGAGGCGAGCAGCGGGGCTGGGATGAGCTGAATAAACCTCTGCACGTCCGCACCCACCAAGCACCGCGACAGACCCACGTGCGGAGGGGGCGGGGCGCCGCGGCCCACGTGACTCTCAGGGGCGCGCGTGGTGGCGGGGCCGGCCCAGGAGGTGGGGTCTTGTCTAGACTCTGGAACTCCGCGCTCTCCCGCCCAGTCTCCGTGCGTGCCTGCCCTCTCGCGGCCGGGTGCACCAGCCCCGCCCCGCCGCCCTGCCCACCCCTCTTACCGCCCACCCCCTCACTCCACCGCCCCCAACCCCGCCTCTCCTGGTTCTGCTTCTCCCCCTCTCACCACTGGATCCTTCTCTGTCTCCTCCTCTGGACCCTCCTCCAGACCAGGCCCTCTCACCATGGGCATCCCCGAGGGCTCTGTCCTGGGCCATCTGCCCTTCTCCCTGTGTCCCACTGCTCTGGGTCATCTCATCAGCTCCCATAGATTGAATGACCTTCTCTATGCTGATGATTCTCAAATCTACCTGTCATGGCCTGAACTCTTTGCTGACCTCCAGACATCTCCAAGTGGATGTCAGCACAGTGGACATCTGAAACTAGACATGTTCAAAACAGAGCTTGACCTTTCTTCCCCAGCCCTCCCTGCCTCATACCTTCCCTGTCACTGTTCTCCCAGGCCCTCAGGCTCCCAGCCTCGGGGTCATCTTAAAATCCTCACTATCTCTCACTCCAGATCCAATGTGGTACCAAAGTCTGTCCATTTCACCTCTGCAGCATCTCTGGTCCATTTCACCTTTGCAGCACCTCTGGTCCATTTCACCTCTGCAGCATCTCTGGTGCATTTCACCTCTGCTGCATCTCTGGTCAATTTCATCTTTGCACTAACACTTGTCAATTACTCCCCCTCCTCTGAGGGTGGAGGGGGTGTACTAACTGCCTCAGTCTCTCCCTGCTCCAGCCCATCCTCCATTCAGCCACCAAAGTGGTTTTTTAGAACGCAGGTCTGACCATGTCATCCCCTACTCTATGATCTCCAGTAGCTCCCTAGGAGGCAAATATAAAATCCTCTCTCATCCAGTGACCCCAAAGCCTCTGTCTCTCAGCATTCTCTCTGGCTGTCCCCCATGCCTGGAATGCTCTCCCTCTGCTCCAACTACTGACCTCCCTGACTATGTCCTAACTAAAATTCTACTTCCTACAGGAAACCTTCCCTAGCCCTCAATTCCAGGGCCTTCCCTCTGTTAGTGATTTCCTATTTATCTGATGTATAGCTTGTCTTGTATCTATTTGTTTGCATGTTGTCTCCCTCATTAAATTATAAACTCATTCTCAGCAATACCATGATCCAAGACACTCCCAAAGGACTAAAGATGAAGCATACTATCCACCTCCAGAGAAAGAATTGATACTGAATGAATACAGACTGAAGCAGGCTACTTTTCACTGTCTTTCATTCTTTTTCTTTTATTTGAGTCTTCTTACATAAAATTACTAATACAGAGATGTTTGACGTAACTGCACATATATAACCTATATCTGATTGCTCACCATCTTAGGGAGGGGAGAGGGAAGGAGGGAGAGATAGAATTTGGAACTCAAAAGTTAAAAAAAAAGATGCCAAAAAATTTTAATATGTAATTAGGGGGAAAGTAAATATGTATGTGTGTGTGTGTATATATATATATATATATATATAT